AAAAAAAAAAGCCACAGAAAAAAATATACATACACAGGCAATCCCAGTACTGAAAATGAGGTTAGGACTAGCTGACTAGCTGGTGGGTTGTCATAATCAATCATTCAATAACAAGATTAGGTCACTTTCATTTAAAAAGAACCCACCACCAAAACCCCAGATCTAAGTTCCCTGCAGTAATTAGAAGGAAAAGAAGAAGAAAAGTAGCTAAGGAAATTAGTGTCAAAAATGTATTGCAGGAATATTTGTTAATTTTTATCACTTGTATTTTGGAGTAAATGTCAGACCTTTTCAATAAGCATCTGTCCTGTTCTCTCACAAAATCCACATAGGGAGCTTTTACAACTGTATAAACTATAAAAATACTGAAAGCAAGAAAGGGAGACCCACCAACTTCAAGGCCGGCACAAATGTCAGAGAATGTAAACAAACCTGTATCAGCACTCATTTCATTCAGCAGCCCTCTGGTTCTCCAGGCAGACCCTGAGTCTTCATTTCCTAAAGAATTATTGTGCTCTTGAACTACTGCAGCTGCCAACAGATTGTCCACATTTACCACTTCTGGGTCTGAGTTTGTGTCTGATATATCATAGTGAGCCACAACAGGAGGTCCATCTGCAGGGGAGAAAAGCAATACGGGTTAGAAACCAGCACAGACTGAAGGATACCTCAAAAAGTACAAATAATTTAAGGATTAATGCAACATCCCACATGAAGCTCTTAAAGTTACATACTGGTAAATTGTATGAACTGTTAAACTTCAGTTAATGGGCATAGCCTGAGATTACAGAGACATTTTGACCTTTGCATACACAGAAAACACAAGTGTCAGAAACACACGTTTATCAGAGCATCAGTTATTTGTGTACTGTCTTTTACATTAACACATAAATATCTGACAATGTTACATTTACAATCTTTAAAGGATAAAACCTCCAGTTTAAAGTTAAAAAAAAAAATTACAGGACATTAAATTGGGCAGACAAGATATTTATCTAGAGAATTTTACAGAAGTCAAGCAACAGCTTACATTATTATAGGGTTGATTGAATAAAACTAACTTTTTCATAAAACTGATCCAATGACAATAAAGTTAACATTAGGCAAGTTTCCTTTCATAACATTCACCTGTCAAGAGCAGGGGGATTTTTCAAAATTGCAATGATTTTTGGAGGTGGTTGTTGGTTTTTTTTTTTAAGATCAAGAATAACAAGAAACAAAATTATATTGTGCAGTGATAAATATGCTTTTCATTCAACATGATTGTCATATGAATTTTTGGCCACCATAATGAAGGAGGAAAGAGGGAGATAAAACTGCTTACGTGATTCTGAAATCTGTCCTTGAGGAATAACAAAAAACTATTTTTGAACTGTTTTGTTAGGACCAACTAAATTCTTTGTGATGAATGAAAATAACTTATAACTGGAAAGCAATGCTAGAAGCAGAAAAGGCTCAGGAAAAAAACAGGCAAATTCAAGACAAAGACTGATGTGGAAGCAGAGAGAATGCATAAATAATGCAATTCTGAGAGGATGTGAGTATTTAGCTCAAATGCCTTGCCCTATCTGCAGCTCACTGATTCAGCAGGTATGAAAGTGGTTGGAGCTCCCCCTCCCCAAATGAGAGGATCAAAACTTTCTTTGGACCAAAGCTTCATCCACACAAATGAGCATAAGACACAAACACAGGCTGGGCCAAAGCTCAGCATCTTTGCAATTCTTTAACTCCAAGGAGGTTCTTGAAGTTCTGCAGCAGAGTATCTGAGGGCCTTTTGTTATGGGTGTGACATATGGAGGGTACAACTTGTATGGGATAATATAAAATAATCATAAAGTAAGAATGTGTTGAGGAAGACAGGACTTTCAGAGTTACAAAATGACTAATGAAATATTTTAAAGTGATAAAGAACAAAATGAAATGCTTTAGGAAAAACTGGTTTCTTCTCAGAGTTTTAAGTGGCTGTTGAAGGCAGAGGGAACGTGATGAACTAGCAGTTTCAAATTTACTTCTCTAAAAAGCTTTTCTGAAGTTTTTAGAGCAGATTTTGGTTTAGGGGCTTTTTTGGAGGGGGTGTTTTTTCATAACTTGGTGCCTGAAATAAAATTCAACAGACTATTTTCAGAAACCTCTACTTTGTGATTAGCAACACAGTTCATCAGAGGGATATTTTGCATAAGTCGTACTAAAGATCAGTTTTGCAACAATGTATGAAGAAATTCACAAAATATTTCAGCTCAGACCTGCCTCCAGAACAGCAATTCCATGAAACAATGTTACATTACAAACTTAAAACAGACCCAACAAAAATAAATGAGTAGTTAAATGCCAATGTATTAAAGACCAAACTGTTCGCAACATGAAACGCTGATGATTATGACTGGAACAGAATTCCTGATAATTAACTGGAAGGCAATCTTTGTCTTTTTAAGAGGCAATTACAAATTAATGGAATACCGAGTTCCGAATTAAGCTGGCTGATGTTCAGTTAATTATTTGTGACAGCTGATGATTAAATTACATGCAGAAGTTAGGGCTGGACTGAATCACGGGAAGCATGTTTTCTTTCAGTCTTATCATCAGAGTTCAGCGTGAACATATATAATGTGAGCTATAAAAATAAACAGTTGAGTGCAGAAGATACGAGGGTCAAGTACAATATTGACTATTTGACCATTTTTTCAACAGGTTATCTAAGACTTCAGGAGCTTGGAACTGTTCCTTCAGGCCTTTGTTTCTCTCGCTTCTGACTCAGACCTCCAAAAGCAGAAGCAAAATTTGATTCTTAGATAGACATGTCTACATGACAATAAAATTTTGTATTTGGACAAAAGTCACCAATAGTCTCAAGTCAAAATTGTACCACTCCTACATGTATAATCATGCAAAAATGTATAATAAATGTATATACATGCAGAGTGATATTCTCATCACCTACCCATAGAAATAACTTGTGTGAAAGTCTTCATCAGTAGGAAATACAAGCATAAACTTGTTATCTGTAGCTCCACTCTTGTATCTTCCACACTTCCAAAGAGCACACCTTATAACTTAGCTTAAATTCAGTATACATCAAACAGACAAAAATATTTTCAATATAATTTACACACTGTAATTATATTTGTCAGGGTAATAGCTACCAATTTAACAATCTGCAAAAAAGGACCCCAAACAAGCTACCTATTTACAAAGCAATCACAGCAGAGATCCATTTTTGCATTTCACAGCCTTGTCTTTCAGGATCAGATCTGGAAATGTGGAAAGGCCCCCAACACCAGGTTAATCTGCACTTATCACCAATGACTGACAAAGCCAAGATAATGGCCACCAAACTGCAACAAATCCTCAGATTCCCCATATTTGCAAAAAAATAAGTAAGCATAAACACTCACATGTGTTAGAAAAAAAGTCAACAAAAAACACAAAACCAAACAATTAAAAAGTTGCAGGCAACAACAACAACTAGGTGGAAGTGAAGGCGTATTAAAAAATCTTATAAAAATCCTCTGTTTCCAAAAGCTGTTTCCTTTTCAGTGCTGCATGGAAGGGACAGGATTAGTTAAATTTGGAAATAAATAATACTGCCCTAGCCAAGTACATGATCATCCAGTGATGTGATGCAAAGTGAGTATGTGGTACCAAGAAATAAGGACAGTTGGCTTCAGCTGGGAAATAAAGTGAAGAAATGCTTTCAGGTTGAAAAGCTAAAAAGGATTAAATACAACCATAGGTGTAATTCATCATCTTTTCTTTATAATAAAGACACTACATGTAATTACTGACCCTAACAGGATTTCAAAAGATTAAAAAACACATCAAGACAAAGCACGCCAGAACCAAGACTTAATGTAGAACAGTTAAGAGATTCCCTGGTCAATAATTTAAAATATCTACTTTAGAAAAATTACATCTTTTGAGAACCCAAGGTAGCTGAAAGAAGTACATTTCCCTGGTGACAAGCATTAATTCATTTCTAAAGCAATAAATGCTTGAAAAAGGCAAGGCTGAAAGTTAATAAGTACCAGCAGCAAAATACAGCCATTGACATTTAATGCTAAAAGGGGGGAGGGAAAGCCTGCTTTCTTTTTCTCTTCCCCAAAGAATTCAGAGGCAGAGGTCATCACAGGGACAGCATTTCCAAGTCTCCAACTCTCCCTCAATTTACACAGCTCATCACAACTAATTCCACTCTGAACAACTGAATCAGAAGTCACATGCACAAAAATCCAGGTCTACACATACCAATTCTCATTTTAAACTTGCAACACAGAAAATTAAATCACTTCTCATCTGCTACCTGCTCTCTTGCTTTTCTTACAGCCACATCTCAACACTCAGCAGTCTAACCCATGCTGTAAGATCCACTCTCCTATTATCCCTTACTTCATTATAATAGCAGCACAAGCAAAAAGATGAACTGAAGCACAAAATTTCAGCTGTAGGTTAAAAGCAGCCATTCTATAAGAAGCACTGTCCCTTTGCACTGCACGGCCTGTTTATCATTGCAAAGGAAACACAAGACATTAGCTGGCAGAACCTGAGTGGGGACTTAAGTCCTTGAAGTTTGTGGAGACAGGCTGAGAGTTGTGGGTGTTTGGACTCCAGGGAGAGCTCAGAGCCCCTGCCAGGGCCTGGAGACAAGGCATGGAGGGAATGGAAGTACACAGACAACGGCTTCCACTTCCAGAGGGCAGGGAAAGGAAGGAATCGCTGGCTCGGAGGGTGGGCAGACCCTGGCACAGGGTGCCCAGAGCAGCTGCAGCTTGCCCTGGATCCCTGGCAGTGTGCAAGGCCAGGTTGGACAGGGCTTGGAGCACCCTGGGCTGGTGGAAGATGTCCCTGCCCATGGCAGGGGATGGAATGAGATGCACCTTAAGGTCTCTTTTAACCCAAACCATTCAGAGTCAGATGAGCTCAGCTTGGAAACTGCAGCTTGGAGCATCAAGAGCACCATCTCCCCTCCTTCCCCAGCAAACAGGAAAAGCTTAGACACCACCATAGCCCAGGCACCTCACTCTTACAGTGCTCAACCTCCACAAGATGAATTCCAGCCTCAGGGATGGGATTTAAATTTTGCTATATTTACTCTTTAAGCTTCCTGCTGAGTTTCCTCTATAAGAGGGGAAAAAACCTGAAATCTCCAGAGGACTAGCCCGATCAAAGTAAATCCAAAATTAAAAGCCTAGCTTCAGTGGTCTCAGCTGTACTCTGGAGCCATCATTGTCTCTTCAAGGAATAGACACAGAGCCATATTTAAGTGTGAATATCATCCTGAGTTTTAAGACACACGGACCAGTATAGTAATAAAACCTACAACAATTATAGCACTTTGTTTTTACAAAAAACTCTCCATTAGTGTATCCTGGAGAACTCCAAGGTGGTTATTAACCTCCTTTGTCCACAAGGGAAACTGAGGCAGGCAGCAGCCTGCAGCTTGCTCAAGGCTAAGAAGCAGAGGAGCTCAGCCTGGCTGAAAACAACATTCCCCTCCAATTACTGGGCTATTTTTAACTGCTGAATGTTTGAGGAGTTTAGAAGCAGTGCTTAGGAATGCTTTTGGGAAAGGTGCAAGTGCTAAAAAGGCTACACACAGAGTGCTGGGAGACAGCCTCTGC